GAGGGGATGTGGTTATGCGTGCAGTAGGCGCTGGAAGAGGTTGCAGGTGGTCATGCGACAAAGGTGCGCGGGCGCTAGCTTGTGAGGTTAGCGGCAGGCGTCTGGCATAGGGGGCTATGCGATGGTGTTGGTGCTCGACCTTGATTTTTCCTCAATCTCCCTCTTCCTCCAGACTCTTGATAAGTTCTCTTTGTCTTTCAAAATTTTCAAATTTAATAATGGATCCAAGGTAGCCTCCTTTTTTTAGGGGTCTTTCTTCTTGGTTCTCCTCTTGTTGTTGATGTAGGTTGGTTTTTGGAGTTGGCGGTCAATTATGATATATAATATCAACTTCCCTTTGTTTTGGATCTTATTGCGTTTCAAATTTCCCCCAAGAGTGTTAACACTCTCCTCAGACAACTCTAATTCTTTCTCTTGAGTGGGGAATGGATGGATGAAGAACGACGGCCTTCTCTTTCTTCAATCACTAACCACGTTGTCGTCAAACTAGAGGCTTACTCGGTGGAAGTGTTTCGAGACGCACTGCACTGCGGGAGAACGAGAGGAAGCTTCGGCGCATGCAGCATAGACTGATCGCTGAGGGTCCACTCCGGGAGAGTGCATTATAGTGGTCCAGACTATACCTCATGCAGTAGAAGGAGTCCCGTGACCGAAACATCGAGCTAATGGTAGAAAACCGCAACCTAATGACTCGGGTGTCAGAGTTGGAGGTTGTTCTGGGAGAGCGGAGGAAGAAGTACTGGACTCCCCTTCTCCCTAATATAAGGTAGAGAGCTCCGAGAGCGTATTCATCACCTGGAACTTCAGAACCAGCATCTGAAGGAGCATGTCGCGGAGTTGCAGTAATTCTTGGGATTTAAAGATGTGAAAGTTCCTCTTGGAATGAGTATAGAATACTTATTCCACTGATATCAGTACTATTAAGACTACCATAGACAACCATATAAAATGGTTTGGCTTCTAAATTTGAAACCAAGAGAGTGTTTGATATATTTTTGAAATTTAGAAGTGTAATTTACAAAATATATAGATTACAGTGATCATATAATTTGCGATTACTTCTTTAGTTTATTATTCTTTAGTTTATTAAAGGTTTAGGAAAGTAATTTTTTCTTCTTTTCTTTTTTTGTTTTTAATTTTATTTTTATTTTAGAAAGAGAAGATTGTAGCGAAAAAGTGAAGAAGATATCAAAAGCGTTTCTTGAGCTCTTCGACGATCAACACATGAAGAATGTAGACAAAACATTTCTATATGATTTTGCCAAAAGAATAATGTCAGAATCTGACGTATCCGTGCAAAAGAAAGCCAAAGGTTAGTTGATTGAAATAATTTTTTACTTGGATATTTATCGGTGATAAAAGATGAATACTTTTTTTCTTTGAACATTTTGATTTTCTTTTTCAATTGTCAAAACGTACAATTGTTTTCTGATACTTTTTTTCTACAGAAACATTATTTATTTATCCAATATATATAGATACACTAAGAAAAAAATATTGCAACGATATTAAGATAGGAAGAGCTTTTAGCTAGTTATTAACTAATTAAATTATACTATATCGAGTTACTTTCTAAAAAGTAGTCTAACACTGTAAAAAATATTCGGAAAAAAAACATATAGAGAGAAAATTCGGAAACAAATAATAATTTTAAAAGGCTCTGTATAAGTTAACTAATATTGTCGAGTTTATAAATTTTAACACAGAGTTGGAGAAAAGTTGCTAGAATTTGGTGCGAGTCTCTTTGAATAAATAAATATAGATATACAATAATTGACTTTATCTTAAATTAATTCATAGAGTTTAGGATGCCTAAATTATTATTTCAAACCCAATTATAAATAGATACTGATCCAAACTTATTTTCATATAGCCCAAGTAAATTAGCAAAAAATTATTCTAATAACAATAAATTACTAGGCTAAGTCTGTTTGAATCTCAGTTCATCCAAGCTTCTTTCCCAGCTCAAATAACAAAAATATTTAGTTACTAACTAGTTAGTATTTATCTTTATATCGATCAGCATTGAAAAGTTGATTGGTTCATCAGCATCTAAGTGTTTCCCTCAATTAACGAGTTCTTTTTCTTTTTTCTAATACAATAATATGTGGGGTGAGGATTCGAACCCACGCGACTTTTTGGTCGAAGATACATGTCTTAACCAGTTGAGTTAAAGTTAAGTCGACTAGTTTGCATCTATTTTTAATTACACTCGCCTTTATCCCTTTTAGCTAATCTTTCTAAGCTAAGCTGCTATTTGTACTTATTTATTTTTTGTGTTTATGGGGATACCAACAAGAGTTTAAACATAACAAAGTTGTAACAATTTCTACTAATTAAGCTTGGAAAGATGCAAAAATGACTCTTATTCTAAGTTGTGTTTTTAATACGTCATATGACATGTGATCTGTGGCTTATGCTTTTCTCTCTGTAAAGCAGAAAACGAATTGCTAAATCCATTACTCCCAGAATCAAGCAGAGCACAACAGCGAGATATAGCAGTCACAATTACTCCCACCGAAAGCACAGAAACCATCCAACAGAGAAATGAAGCTAAAAGTTGGAAAATTTTGCAATGCGTAGTGGTTGGTGGTTTATTTGAATCCATTACAAGTTTAGTCATTGTAACATCTGCAGCAACAAGCAATATCATCTCCAATGGTAAGCCCCTTCAAATTTTCTTCTTTCTTTAATGACAAAAGTTTATACAATTAGTCATTTAGGGTTTATGAGGTATGAACCTAAAAATTTGCTAAATTGCAGGAAATATATTAGCTTTGGCATTGGCAAACTTGATTTCGGGATTCTTTCTCATCAGACATGATGTGAGTAATTACTATTCTTGCTGTATAATGTTAGATATCCTCTATATATGATTAAATTTACCCTAACCCATAACCAAAACTTTTGGGTTTACAGGTGTGTTTGGGAGTGATGGTAGAATGAGTGATTTAAAACAAAAAAGATTTAAGTATAATTGATTTTCCAAAATGACCGTCGAAGTGATACCTTAAAAATCAATTTAAAAAGTGATTCTAGTGATTTTATGCTTCTCTGGAATCAATTTTATAATTTGCCAAACATGATCAATGAAAAGATGAGCGCTTTTTTTACAATGGCAAAAGTGATTTTGGCCATGTGAAAATCACTCTCAAACACACTCTTAATAACGTTTAGAATGTAGGAGGACACTTCTCTTCACTTGTGGGCTTCAAAATTTGTACTAAACCCAATATGTGGATATCGATATTAAATAGGGAAGAAATGACTATACATGGTTCGAACATGGGATCTCCTGCTCTGATACTATCTTAAACATATTAAATCACGAATCAACAACCCAAAAACTTAAGTTCAGAGGTTAATTAAGGTAAATTTTGTATATCTTAACATATAAAATTACATTTTTTGAAATACATTTAGTGTGTTTGAAAATATGCCATCTAAATAATTAGGAATGTATATTTTTGGAGTTGAACTTTATTGACTCGATCAACTTCCTTTATACGTATTCTCCAAAATTTATCATGCTTACCTTCTTAGTAGTTGCTCTAGAAATCTTCTCAAAATTTGTATCCATTAATAGGCTTGATGAATAATGGTGAGATCTTTATGGTCTTTCTTTCTAGTATCCTGCAAAGTCTCTGTTGTTGAGCTTGATTCAAAATCACATCATTGGTTGATTTCTTCGTAACTTCTATCAACATCTCACACCTATCTTGTGAATCAAGTAAAGTGTTCATACGGATACACTAACTAGACTGTAGTTTTATTTGATGAGACGAGGTGCTTGGAAAAGAACCAAATTGTTGTTTGCCATTTGAAAAAACAACTCTCTTTTCAAACTCAACTCTGCTACCACTCTACGGAAGCATGTGATGGAAATTCACAAATTGAGAATCAAACGGGACTTATTTGAGAATCGACAACTTCACACTTGTATTAAAAATTTCTCACAAAATACGAACTTTTTTCACCAACTCCCTCGAACTCGCATTGTTTTCTTCTCCACATACTTGCTTGAAACACATAAAAGATCATCCTTTTTTTATAGGATTATAGTAGATCTAGATCCCAACAATAAATCTAATCTCATGGACTCAAACATACATGTATCCAATTAATCCATCTTAAAAAGCTAAATACATGAACACTTCATTAAATACTACTTCATGAATATGCATAATGTATTTAGGATTATAGTAGTTCATGTATATGATAATTATCATGTTTAATTTTCAATATTAAAAACGGATAAATATACACTTGTTTAGTTTCTAAAGTTAATGAGTGTAATTTGCAGCTATCGATAACACGAAAGGAACAGAAGCTGAAACAAGGAAACGAAATGCTAAGAGCTGCAGTGCATTATAGTTTCCATTTTACAGTGGCCATCATATCCTTCATATTATTTGGTGCTGTGCCCCCATTTGTTTATGCCTTCACAATTGGTGACAAAAATCTCAAGCTCGCCATCGCAGCAGGAGTTTCACTTTCATGCATTGCATTGCTTGCTGCTTTGAAAGCGCACCTTCAAAAGCTAAAACATCAGGCCGTGATAAGCTACATAAAAACTGTAGCTTCTTTCATGGTTTTTGGAGTTGCAGCCTTCGTCTTATCATATTTAGCAGGTTCTCTATTTGGAAAACTTATTGAAAAAGTTGATTGGTTTGAGTAACCTCCTGTACCAAATGTGTTTTATTAGTATTACAACTATACAATATTGATACTGCAACTTTAGTTTTTCTCTAAAGTCTTTTTTTTTTTTCCTTCTTCTTTCTTTCTTTCTTTCTTTCTTTCTTTCCATTTTTTACCTCTTGAAATTCTATAACCATGACATCATCTGAATGTTGCATGATGATCATGTTGGGTTTGCAAGGGAAATGTAAACAAGGTTCCGCATTGAGTATGGAAGGAGAGGTGATCATGCGTATATAAGATAGGACAATTATCTCAATTGATATGAGACTTTTGGTTCCAAAAGCAAAGCCGTGAGGGCTATGTCAACTTAGCTATGTTGTTGAATCCTCGAATGCCGAACAAAGAAGTGGTGAGTCTCAAAAGATGTAGTCATGGTGTAATTCGTAGTTGTGCTCCATTAGGTTGTGTTGCACCCTTGAGCCTTGAGGAGATGAGAAACTGAGAGCCGTTTTGGGCATAGTCCTCACGGCTTTGCTTTTAGTTCCCCTTAAAAGACCTCATACTAATGGAGATAATTGTCTTTTCTTATATACCCACGATCATTCTCTTCCCTAGCCAATATGAGACTTTGTTTGCAATTACTTTACAAACCCAACAGAACGTTCTGCGAGTAGACATGGCTATTTCGAAACTCGAGAGAACCAAGGGAAACGAAGACCAAGAGGGGCGAAAAAAGAGAACCATTCCCCTCCCCCAAAATAGGATTTAAAGCCTTGCCAAATGTCGTTTTGGATCCCAAACGGACGCTAATAATCGCAACTGCCGCCTCCACCGCTTCAATCGGTGCATGAGGGATGCGACAACCCACCAGGGGTATTTACGGTTTGGGTTGGGTCGGGTTAGGAGGGATTTTGGAACCAACCCGAATTTTTGGGTGGCCATATATAGGAATTGTCGGGTTTGAATGGGATGGTCAACCCAACCCAACCCAATATCTTCAGGTTGGGTCGGGATTGGTTTTCGGGTTGTGTTTTTTTTTTAATTTTTAATTTTTAATTATCATAGCAGCGACAGAGAGTTAGGATTAAAACTAAATGGGCGATAGAGATTAAGATAAAAAAAATGGAAGAAGATAATATGAAAACCTTAAATGGAAGCCTAGGATCAAAACTAAATGGACGGTTGACATTGAAGATAAAGATATTATTATTATTATTATTATTATTATATATATATATAATTAAAAAAAATAGACTTATATGTATAAATTCGGGTTGGGTTGGGTTGACCCTACTTTTTAAAGGTTGAACTCGAAACCCAACCCAACCCGATCGAGTTGGGAAAATCACAACCCAACCCGATGCTTCATCTAACCTAACCCAAACGGTTTGGGTTGGGTTCGTCGGATTATTGGGTTTTTTGAACACCCATACCACCCATAAAACAGCAATGGGCACTTGTCCCCTCATCAACGTGACCGTTTGCTATCACACCCCTGACTAGCCATGGCCCCACGTCTTGATATGAAAAAGATCTTTTCGCCACGCGCCATGCAATGCAACCTGGACACGCTCCGATCCACTCCAATGCTTTCAAACCCAGCCATCTATAATAGGATAGTCCGTCTCTGAAAGATGACTAACTGTTGGGGGAGAAATTCGAACAGAACATAGGTCAGATTCCGGGAGCGACAACGAAGCACGGATCACAGGTGATTATCACTATACTTTGTGCAGGCGTACAGGTGCGTCGACACCATAGCTGTACGTGGGAGACGTCGGGAACTGTGACCTGAAAGCTGCAAGCGGCAAGTTTATAGACATGCAGGTGAAGGCACCACCCACTGACTATTGGGAGCGTCCATCCCTCCGTCAGAGCCTCGTACAGCTCGGCACGCCTTTGCATCCACAACTGTCGTCGTTTCTAGTCGGCTATCCACACCTATAAAAGGGAAAGACGACCTCCACCAACACCAAGTAAGTGAAAAACTTCACTGAAATCCCAAGGTGTGTTTACTCCTATTTTTCTTTTACTCCGATTACTGACTTGAACATCAAAGTGTATTAAGCAAGGCACCGCATTGGTGTCGAGTTTTCTGGTTGCGGACTCATTTAATCTTCAGCGAACACACTCATCCGAGGGACACATGAACCTCTAAAAAATTAGCTGTCAACAAGACATATATTTCTTTACGTTCGAATCCCCTTACCTCATGAGAAGTTGTACTAAATAAACTAAAAAAAAACAAGAAACACAAAATAGTTATAAAAACATACTTTTGTTTATATTTCTTTTTCGTTTTTCAAAAACGAAGAAACAATTGAACACATTCCTATTTCTAGTTCTAAAAGAAATAGGAAATAGAAATTGAGAACATTACCAAATAGACCCTCAATTTATAAAGTTACTCATGAAAGAGGATGTAAGCAATTATAAGAAATAAGATAGAGAGTCGCCAAATAAAGTCGGTGGCCTGGGGGAGGGTTTATTCTTTAGTACAACAAGATTGTTCAACATCCGACCTCAAGAAAAGTAATTGATATCTTATACAATACAACTCGGAGAGGGCTACTAATACTCAACTCCGAGTTACTAATACTCAAATCAATCGAGTTCGTTGACAAGTTTTCCAAACAGCGCGCCTGCTAAGTATGACGAGAAGAAGGCCACAGCTCCAAAGCAAACGAAAGAGGCTGTAGTTCTGATGTAGCTGACGATCTGTCGTCTGAGCTTCTGAACGTGTGCTTTCAGAGCAGCAAGCAATGCAGTGCATAAAAGGGAGGCTCCGGCAGTGGCCGCAAGGTTTAGGAATTTTTTATCAGAGTTTGGGAACGTCAAGGCATAAACCAAAGGAGCCACCATACCAAACAATATGAATGATAGCGTAGCCACTACGTAATGGAAATTATAATGCCATGCAGCTCTAAAAATTCCAGTCCTAGGCCTGTGCTCGTTCAGTGTTATTGATACCTGCAAATTACTCATCAATGTAAGGAACAAACAAGTTTATATTCTAACTAATTTTATTTGTTTAAATTTGATTTCGTCCCTCACCCAGGATCGAAACCGAGCATTAGTCAAAATTTAGGGGTAAAAATTCACAAGCTCGAGAGGTAGCAGCAAATGAAACACTTACCTAACCTTCATGGACCATAAAGTGTATTATCCTTTGAAAAATAACTTCTTTGTAGAACTCTATTTCCAACGTACTTAAAGACCACAAGAAAATTTGATGTTATATGAGAAGCAAAAGTAATTACTCACATCGCGTCTGATGATGAAAAATCCTGCAATCAAGCTTGTGAATGCCAAAGCTATTACATGTCCTGCAATTATGAAAAATACGACTTCATACATGTCTCAAAAATTGTGTGCATGAAATTAAAGATGGCCTAAATTTTTAAGAATGAAGAAAGAAAACTTGTTTAAAGGGTTTAATTAATTACCATCAAAGATATTGGCTGCTGTTGCTGAGGTTACAATGACTAAACTTGTGATGGATTCAAATAAACCACCAACCACTATGGATTGTATAATTTCCCAACTTTTAGCTTCATTTCCATATTGTTGGATGGTTTCTGTCACCATTTCGGGTATTGTAACTGCTATACTTTCCAGCTGATGCACTCTGCTTGATCCTTGTAAAAGATTAACAATATTTTTTGTGTCGATCTCAATTCTCACTTGAAAATTATAAATAAACCATAATAAAAACTATATATTAATTATATTTATAGGACTTTTTTTCTTATTTTACCAAGAAAAAAAAGATAAATAACAATACTTTTTTTTCATATATGTCAATTACCGTTAAACTATGCTTCCTTTGACAGATAAAAAGTGTTATAAAGTACTATGTTTGCGATTTAGTTTTTACATTTTAATATTTGTAATGATTTAGTATTTGTAGTGTAATATATAATAATTTAGTTGTGTAATGTGCATTTGACTTTGGTAGCCACCAGGATTCCCTCTTTTCTTCATACGACCTATATTTTTTATACATAGGATCTTGGTAATGTCAAATTCCTGTTAAACATTATGAGGACTTTTCATGATTGTTATAAATTTCAAACTGCATGATTAAATGCATGCATGTTAAAATTAAAGACTAAATCATTTTCTATTTTAAATTAATTAAAAAGATTAATTATTACATACTAAAGTTTGAATCGTTATTTTAGATGAAAATACAAAACCATCGTTTTTTAACCCTTTTTTATTTTTAACAACAATATATATGTGAATCAACTATAGTAAAACCTGTTTTGACTCAAGACGGGATATAATTTTAAGATTGGGGTGAACACATGTTAAGCTCTTTTATCCTTATTTTTTTATTTTCCCTTTCTTACTATTACTTAATTATTTGCTTTTTCACATGTGGAACCAGAAAATCAAATATAGTTATTGTTTGTGAAGAATACCTGTAAAACTTTTATAGTGGATGTGTGCAATCTTAGGCCAATCCTATCGTTCATGCTTGCATCTTCCTTCAAGTTCAGGGCAACCGCGTACGGTGAGCTCTACCAAAGATTTGAGTTGTCGCATTTCCTCCGGTAGTGACTTTAATTTCGGACATTCAGTGATAGACAACGTAGCAAGTGAAGTGATGGTGCCAATCCATTCCGATAGACTCATCAAATTGGAGCATTTCTCTATTATGAGATGTTGAAGCCGTATAGACGAGGACATGGACATGTGTGGGATTGGGATACCCAAAGAAGAAGAACCCAAACTTTGCTGAGATTCCATTTTTAGATCTTTCAGATCCTTAATTTCGCAGAGTCTTACAATCTCAAAATTCCACAATGGACCCATTGCACTCACCACCTCAACACCAACATCACATAAACTAACACTTGCTTGAGTGGAAGCTATCTTGGGCATGGTTAACTTGGGACAGCGCTCGATACGTAGGAATCGAAGCTGAGGAAAAACGGGAAGAGTCTGATCCCCTGCTCTTGATTCCCACCATCCTTCCAAATTATCCATGTTTTCTAAAATTAGACCTTTGAGAGATGGGAAATTAGAGCATGAGCATGGCTCATTCTTGTCTATGAATCTGAGAGATCTCATGTTATCTAAGTACAAATGTTTGAGGGTCCGAAGGTGGCCCAACTGAGGTAGATATTTCACTCTGTCTCAGTTCATTCCGAAGGTGACCCAATTGGGTAATCTTACTCCGCTGTATCCCTCGATGCTCAAGGATTCAACATTTGAATGTGGTTGTAGGCCTTCCAGAACTATTTCATCGCCCTTACCCCCTTCGTCTTCATCGTCATCCCTGCCGCTCAGTTTCCATACGAGTACCAAATCTCGCACACCTTGAATGTCTTTCAGGTTTACTAACCTCACTTCAGATGGAGTGTGCCGAAATTGCTCTAAACCTATGATTGTTAACTTCCATTTGATGATTCTATAAAACCTTGAGCTATCCATTGTCTAATCAAATCATTTATTTTTAAACTCGTCCCTTTGGGAAATAAGGATAAATAGGCAAAACATGGCTTCAAATTTGATGGGAGATGGTTATAGCTTAATTTTAATATGGATGTCATAGGATAATTATTGTCTATACCATTTTGTTGAAGGGCTTCCAAAAGTTCATTCTCCTTAAAGGACATCCACTCTTTTTCTGAAGTTGTAGAGGATAACAAGCGTCCTATCTGTCTTATTACAAGAGGAACACCTCCACATCCCACTAAAATTTCTTTTCCCAACTTTATCAAGTTTGGATTTGCAGGCTCGTTGCCTTCTTTAAATGCCACACTTCTAAACAATGACCATGACTTACTCTCACGTAAGCCTTCTAAAGTTAACAAAGAGGTCATACTTTCGATTTCTGTAGCTACTTTATTATCACGCTTTGTGATCAAAATCTTACTCCCTCTTGCACCACCCATTAACAAATGTTTCAATTCATTCCATTTCTCCCCACTTTCATTCCATACATCATCCATAACTAACATATACTTTTTTCCTCTAATCACTTTTTGAAGCTCTATAAGTAAAGCTTCCATTCCTTTAACATTAGGATTAATAGAGCTTCCTGTTGCCGATTCTATCATTTTTTTCACGATTACTTTAACCTCAAATTGACCAGAAACCCAAATCCATATTCTTGAATCGAAACATTTTGATACATCGTCATCATTGTAGAGAGATTTAGCCAAAGTCGTCTTGCCTATCCCGTCCATTCCAACTATCATAACGAACAAAACATTGTGCATGACATTCATATCCATATCCAACAAAAGGTGCTTCACTTTTTTCTTATCATCATCCCTTCCAATCACCTCCTCTTCATTTGAAAAAGAGCAAGTTTCGTTTCTTTCCATCGTAATTTGGTCAAATGAACCATAATTTTCACGCAAATGAAATTGTTCTTTCTCAGCATCAACAGCATCTAGCCTCTCCCAAATATTCTTCATCTTGCAAGTCATCCTATAATTAAATGAAATTAGGTTAGATCCGGAGAAGAAGATGCGTACCTTTTTTGTATTTTTTTCTCTAGTCGTCGTGAGTTCTCGACGGAGAGCCTCATAGGAGAATTCATCAAGCATATCCTCCACGTCATAAAAAACTTCTTCCAGCTTTTGGAGCCAATTCTGTAGTGCGTGAGTTTTAGTTTGGCACTCCTCTGCATCAACAAGTACATTCTTAATGGCCGAAACAGTGGCGGTGAGTTTGGTAAGATCATCCTCCAGTCCAGGCACCATTCCAACCATTTGGGAAGTTATGGAGCCTAGCTTCATCAAGATATTACCAGCAACATGGACCAGAACTCCTTCAGCCATGGTTTCGGTTTCAGTTTCTGGTGGGGAAATAGAAATGAACCCTCCAAAAGATTGCTTAGGAAATATATGAAGGCTGTAAAAGAAGGCCTTTTTCCACGACTTGCATACAATTCTAGGACAATGATGTGACATATTTTACCCTCTTTCTCCCTTTAATTTGTCCCGAGAAGAATATAATATATACAAGTCAATAACCGAGCTTTCTCAGTTAAATCTGAGCTGTCAATGGTTGCATAGTCTATTATTTTACGTCATTACAATCTCGTTGGATTTTTTTGATACAAAATAAAGTAAATAAATAAAATTAAAGGTTTCACATGTTTTACGTTTTGCGGGGAGTAACCGTCAGAATTTTAGGAACAGTCGAATCAGGATTTTTTGGTAGTAGTTTTTCGTGGCAGCGGCTCGAAATTGTTGGCAGCAGATTGGGGGATCAAAATCATATTATTTAGGATAAATTGTATCTCGATTATTGTGAGTTTTCTATTTCTATTTCTAAGTAATTGTATTAAATTACTTAGAAGTTAGGAGGTTTTGAGACATCTAGAGAATATTTTTTGGGATAATTTATCATAAACAAACTTATTATTACTTTTAGAACAAAAATGAAGGATGAAGAGGTAAATAATAATAAGCTTAGGATGAATTTGAAATATTGAACTCTAAATACATATCTAAAGTAGCTGACGAGAACACAGAGTTGTGGAAAAAGCTCAATTATTGAACTGAAATGAAATGGAGAAGAAAGCGTGGGCTAAGATATGTCACATCATTGTCAAGTGGGGGCTTGCATATTCAAATTGTATAATTAATCTTTGACCAATTCTCCGTTTTTGTTTTTTATATGTCGAGCTGTATAGCACATCAGTGGAAACGAGTCATCCTTTTTACAGTACACGTCCGCGTTTTCTCGATATTTTCTGGCTGACACAGAGATATAAATCGATATTTTTATAGTATTACAAAAAATTTTACAAATTATGAAAAGAACAAACGGACAAAATAGTAATATTGATTATTTTTACCTTATTTAAAAAGAGTAAATGATTTATTTATGTTAATTAAATATGTTTTTACGAAGTTTTAATTTTTATAGCATTTTTAGAAAGATTGATCAAATACATCGACCTTTAAAATCTTGATTCGTATTTCATTTGGAATAACTATCCTAAATAATCTTTAACATAGATTAATAAAGCCTGAGAAAGCATAATATATCCCATTTCCATTTCCCCACCTGAAACTTAAATCATGGCCCAAGCAGTACTCTTCAATGATGATGGGCAGCAACATCATTCCAACAAGAATTAGTAACAAGTCCTTAATTATTTTGGGATCCAATGACTACAGAGGACATAAGGAACCTAATTTTCATCCATGATTGTTATGTTTGCGGAGGAAAATCGTTATGCCAGGTAGAGGATAGGAACACGTGTGGATAAAATCTGAAGTCAGGTCCACCTTAAACCTTCCTAGGTGGAAGACTTAGTCCATTGTTTGCTATATCCTCTTCATGAAAAGTTGATCTACTCCAAGGACCGACATGTCCGATCTGCCATCCGACATAAATAACCGCCGGTCGGAAAGTCTGTAGGATCCCTAACCTATAAATAGAGGACACCATTTTCACATTAGGTATCGAATTTCTCCTCGAACTTACTATTGAATCCGAGTTGTCTTACTGAATTGAGCGTCGTAAAGTTTGCCCTCTTATATAGGTAATTTCCGTGTGTTTCGAGTCAGCAAGTTTCCATGTCCGACCTTGACCAGGTCTGATCTCGATCCATTTTTCAAACATATAACATGTATCTTTTGACAAAGTCAATAGATGGTGTATTTTGCTGTGTATTGTATTGATAAAAATTTAATTATATGATATCTGAATGAGTTTAGAACTCTCACTTCTTTTAATAGAAGAACCATATTTTGTAGGTACTTCTAAACTTTCAAATACTACTACACAAATAAGAATCATAGACAAAGCTTAGCAATGAATCGTGAATGATAAAAATGTAAGAAGTTTGGAGGAATTAATAGCTTCAAACCATAACCACCTATTTAGAAATTAATATCTTATAAATTTCGCTATATCTATAACAATGTTAATTGTTAGTATGGATGTTATATTTTGTGTTGCAAAATATTTGTTTAATGTGATTAATTTTCAACATCTGTTTGATAGTTGTAGAATATGTGAGGACTAAAAACACTATTAAATAATAAAAAAAAAAACTTTTAATCCCTAAGAAGTTAAACAACCATCAAATTGAGAGGTTCCATTACAATATCACTTCACAAATTAAAAATAAAACATTTTTTTGAAAATCCTGATTTTAAAATTTTCAGTATTCCCATATTACCCTTTTCAGTTATCGCTTCGTTATTATATATCAAACATATATCACATATATATCATGAGTATATCTGACAACATTAGTATATCAGAAGTAAATCAATAGTATATTAGAAGTCAATCAGTTCTATATCAGTTGTATATTAGTAAATCATTATTTTACCTGCTTTAACCCTTTGTCTTGTATTTTTTTGATCAATTAGAAATTAGTAGGTATTGGCATGCATGGAAAATGAGAAAAAAAATTGATACTTACTGAAAATGAGAAAGAAAACTTGATAGGAACGTGAATGTGAACGTCAATGGTGATTTTCGAAATTACTGTGAATG